ATATATATTTTCTATCAAGTTTAATTAAAAATTACCAGTAACATGATTAAGTATGAGATTTTTGTTAAATTTATAATAATCATTGCCGTTTAATTTTCAGGATATAGCACATATAAACAGTAAGAAGAAGAAGAATCGAGAACATTACTAGATCGAACTTCATTAAGAAACTTTTAAAAACACAAAATTACTGATGAAATGCTTGGGTTGACTATTTATTATACTTCCAATTGTCATAATAAGAAGTCAAGGTACCGGGGGTTTGCTTGATCACAAATTTTAGATTTCTAAAATTTTGGAAAAGGAAAATAATACTGTTAAAAGAAAATTAAAAGATACCACGAATATTTTGCAGAATGGTGAAAGATGTCAAATTATTTTATGAACTTAGATCCTTGCTGGCTACAGATTTTAAAAGATGAAGTAAGATATAATAGAATAGAATTATGTATCTCTAGCTATACAGGGTGATTCAGAACTTATCCAAAAAAAAAAAATTTGATGTACAGGGGACTCTTGCAAATACAATTTTGTAAAGAAAAAATCAAAAAGGGCAGTTCGAAAATGATTTAACACTTCTGCACGGCACTGGAAACTGATCTACTGTGAAACCTGACCTTGTCCAATGCTTTCGCAAGGAAAGAAATAAATAAAATTTTATAGCACCTATTTTATATCAGCAAATTCAACTGCTTTTGTCGTTATTGTTATTATTAATTAATAAAATTAATTTGTGTTTTTAAATAATAAAATAATTTGACATACCCGATGTTACAACAACTTTTCAAAATTTTATCCCGTCTTACTCAGTTTCTAGGAACTAACACAAATGTTGTCTTGCTTCACCATAAATTAAAACAATATCCATCAACTTTGAATTGCTATACACGCAAACCATTTTTGACACTAACTACTAAAAAACTATTGTAAACACTATTGCAACGATTGTAAAATCGTATTTCAGTATTCGGAGTTGCTGAGGCCACATGCTTTTCACGCGTATTGCGAATGTCACTAAAGACTACAGTTGTCCAGCTATGTAATGGTTGAATGTACAACTTCAATAATTTTTTTCTCGGAAACTATAAGGATTTTAGAAAAATTTTTTTACGATATTGACTATTTCTTATGTCGCATCTATACCCAAATTTTTTGGATAAATTGTGAATCACCCTGTAGAAACAGATAAAAGCAAACAAATTTAAACTAAAACGAAAAGTCAAAAAAAGTTCAGAATTCGAAAACAGATAGATTTTCAAAACGTTAACAACTTTTTAAAGAACGTGATATAAACAGGTGTTTTATATTTCGTATTTGTCAACTTTTTCCAGTGTGCGATTTTCAACTATTTTAATAAAAATAACCGCAAGGGTCTATTCCACAAATTTTTGAAAATGTTAAAACGCGCAAAATATAAAAAACAAAAACTATGCTACAAATAAATAACTTCAGACAATATCTGAGCAAATTTTATTCTTTTACGAATTTTGTAAACTTTAAATCACTAGTCCTTTTTAACAAACTTGACTGAAATTAAATTACACAGTGGCAATGAATCAAATATCACGTCTGGTAATATTAGCTATAACTATCCGTTATTCATATTGTAACTAGAGAGTAGAAGGTGTACCAGCTAGAATGCGAAGCCTTCAAAGTAAAAATAAGGCAATGATAAGTTCATCTTTTACTATAGGGGAGATCGGGGAGCATTCGGCCACGGGGAGCATTCAGCCACTCAAAATATTTCAAAAATCATTTGAATTTCCCGGATTAATCTAGTAATTCAGTGTTGTTAACATAATAACCCACAACTTGAAGTGAGTTTGACCGGTGATTAGTGGAGAAACCGAATTTTATAAATTAAACAAGAAAATCGAGCTCTAAGGTAAGAAATTTTATAACAGCTGCATTCCTCAAAATCTGTGTTTAATGAACAATATTGAAAAACTTTATTATAGAAAATATATGCTTAGATAATGCAAATATTTAACTGATATCAATTTATAACCTAAAAATTGTCGTTATTTAAAATAACATTTTAAAATTTTTTGACCGCTGGGGAGCATTCGTCCATACGTACCTGGGGTGCATTCGGCAGGTGGACGAATGCTCCCCAGGTGGACGAATTTAATAAATAAAAGCAACTTACTTGTTTTGGACAGTTTTTTGGTAAAACATTAACACAGTTTTAGTTTTTTAGTCAATAAATTTGTGATGTGGAAGTATTGATTTAATTTGCAGAGGTATTTTATGTTTAGATGCCACGAAAACGTGTTTTAAAAACTAAGAGAAACTCAATTGACGAGGAAGCTGTTAAACGGGCTATTATATGCTATTTTAATGGTACCTGCTCCGAAAGAGAAGCTGCAAGGGTAAATCATATCAAAAGATCCACCCTTCAAAGTCGAGTGAAGAAAATTTTATCAAAAAAGACTAAAGAAGAATATTTAAGGCAACATTTACAGAACCAAGATGACTCAGGAAATGACAGCGAACTAGTTGACGATTCACCAAAATACTCCAGTAAATATACCAATAGACAAGTTTTCACCATGGAGGAAGAAGAAGAATTGGTAAAATATATTAAAAAATGTTCGAATATTAACTATGGACTAACTTACGTTCAGGTCCAAAAATTAGCTTACGACTATGCTAATGCTCTACCACATTGCCAGGTTCCCAAGGAATGGCACGAATCAAAAAAGGCTAAGGAGGGATGAAGAAGAGGTTTCATGGAGAGGCATAAATCTCTTTCTTTAAGGAAACCTGAGAGCACGAGCTTAAGTCGCAGCATAGCTTTTAATAAGTTTAAGGTAGAACAATTTTTTATAACCTTAAGGTGTATGATCGTTATAAATTCCCTGCTGAGCGAATATACAACCTTGATGAAACGGGAGTAACAACTGTAATGAAACCAGTAAAAGTTGTAACAACTACCGGTAAGAAGCAGGTATCCCAAGCGGCATAAGCAGAAAGAGGGAAATTAGTGACCTTTGTTGGTATCGTTAATGCTGCAGGCCAAAGCATTCCACCTGTCTATGTGTTCCCTAGAATTAGAAATATCGACGACTTCATGCATGGTGCCCCAATTTCCAGTTTAGCTCTTGGAAATAAAAGTGGTTGGATGACCGCAGAACTGTTTCCCAATGTTCTAAAGCATATAGCAACTCATACACATTGCACTATAGCTAACCCTATTTTGCTATTAATTGACAATCATGAGTCACATGTGAATCTTGCGTGTGTCAAGTTTTGCAAAGAAAATGGGATAATTCTTTTAAGTTTTTCACCACACACAACTCACAGGATGCAGCCTTTGGATGTCGCGGTTTATGGACCATTCAAGCAGTTCTGCAATGTAGCATTCAATGACTGGATGACATAAAACCCGGGAAAGACCATTAGTGTGAGGAATATTGCTGAACTAACTAATCGCGCTTATTTAAGAGCTTTTACAGCCAGCAACATAATTAGTGGATTTAAAAAACCAGGAATATGGCCATTTAATAGATTGGCCTTCAGTGATGACGACTTTAATTCAAGTTATGTTACCGATATGCCTTTGCCTCAAAACAATCAGTTGGTAAATAAAAACCAAATTGCTGTTAACAATAATCCGTCAACTACAAAATTTGAAGAAATTCTGGAAAATGAAAACAAAGAAGTTTTGGACAATGAAAACATAGAAACCGAAACGCTTCAAGATCGGGAAGAAGAGTATGAAAGTAGAGAGGAATTATTATTCGAAGAAGACAATGATGAAAATGTACCTCTCAAAACACTGCAAAACAGAACTATCCAAAAGAATCCAAAGATTAATATCTTGAATATCACAACCATCACGCCGTCGCAGTCGTGCAGCGGTCTTTTACTTGCAAAAGAAAATCAAACTGTCAAAATAACACCAGAATCTGTCAAACCTTACCTTAAAGCAGTTAAAATAGAGGGTAAACGTAAAAGAGAGCCTGCCTTGTCAAGGGTTTATACCGATACTCCCGAAAAAGAAAGACTTGAGGAAAAGGAGCGGGAAAAGCAAAGGAAAAAAGATAAGTGCCCAAAACAAGATCTGTTTAATAAAAATGATCCAAAAAAAAATGTCAATAGACAGCCAATAAAGAAAGTTAAATTGGATCAACTCAACTACTCTGATTCATCATCCAATAACAGTGACTTTCCATCAGTTCATGATAATTCAGACGAAGATGTTGATGAAGAATTTAAAACTATTGAAGAATTAAAGAAACAGGAGTTAAGTGAAGGAGACTTTGTTCTTGTAAAATTTAAAGTTCGTGGTACTTTTATCCATTTTGTTGGGCAAATTTTAAACATTAAAAACGAAAATACGACACGCGTTAAATTTCTAAGACGAAAAGGACTTTCTACAACTTTTTATTTTCCTCCCATTGACGACATAACAGAAATAGACATTAATGATGTCATTGGCAAAATTGTACCCTCTTCGAAGGCTGGAACTGTGAGAACAGCCTCATATTATCACTTTAATTACAATTTTGGATTTCTAGTTGTTAATTGACTAAAATTCTGCTTTTTCTTTCTTTTGTGTTAAATTTCCCCATGTTTTTTGTTTAATTTACGACAAAAAAAAAATCAGTATTTAGCCAATTATCAGTATTTTAGCTTTGGCCGAATGCTCCCCATGTGCTGGCTGAATGCTCCCTTGGTATGGGTAGCATTCGGCCAAATGCACCAAGTCACTGAAACAATTTTTTTGGCTCGGTATATCAATATTTTGTCCAAATGACCTGTAGAATACTTAGGTAAGTGTTTATTAATTATAAAGAAATATATATTTAATCAGTTTTTCATATAATTATTTAATTATCCCAAAAAACAAATAAGTGGCCGAATGATCCCCGATCTCCCCTACCTCACCTAAAATCCCCAAAACTTAATACAAAACACATCTTAACAACATTACTTTAGGCAAGACAACAAAATCATAACGCTGATCTAATGATGTTATCACATCAAAATGGAAAGTCAAATAAATATATTTATGAGGTTATTTAATTGGAAACTCTGGCCAATAATTAATATGGTAACGTTGTGTGGATCCCTCAAATAATCGATCCAACCAATTGGGTAACCCATCTAATAAGGTTCCTTGTAGCAATATGTCCTCATCGGATTCTGAGCTGTCAGAATTAAAACCAATAAAAGCTCCACTTTCACAGTCTTTATCTTCGGGATTCTTCAATTTATTAGCACCCTTTAAAATATCATTGTTAATTACAAACAAATCTATCACAAAGCATTTGATAAAAAAGTGCTAGAATATTTCCTTTGTGTTGGAATCTTTAGATTTTAGTTGCTAGTCAGCAATGTTTGATTTTAGATTCATGTTATGAAGAGTGTCCCTACATTGTCTTAATAATAGACGAGATAAAAAATATATAAGTAGGCCGAGATAGGAATAAATGTCAATGTCTACATATTTCTTCACAATATCGATTTGACAGTGTACTATTGATGGAATGTAGATAGAGAAAGAGAGGGTAAGGTCGCATTTATACTTCCTAGTGGCAGGTGATGGATGTCAGGTGACAGTCGACAGGCGACGTCGCTTATATCTGTTTTCCATTGTTTTAAATGCTACCGTTTTTAGTATGGTTAGATGGCATGAGACGACACGGCGCAACTGCGAGCGACATCACCCGCGCCACCCGTAGTATGATTTATTTCTCCGTGGTGATTTTTGTTAAAAATAAAGTCAAATGTCTCTACAGACATGTGAATGAATTCAAAAAACCTTTCAAGATAGTCCCTGAGATCTCGGTAGAGATGCTGAAATTCTCCATACTGACCACGTACTACATTTACTGGGTTAAACACAGTATTCTCTTCTTGTTTTTCTTCTATTTCTATCTTCGTCTTCAGCCTCTAACAATTAAAGCGCACGACGCGTTATAAACGACATTTTGATTGAGATTGAAGAATCTGAATTTCCTTTTTCATGCCTACATCCAATACGTAACACCGGAATAAAGTATAAACGCATTGTCACCCAACACCTATCGTCTGGTGCCTATCACCTATCGACTGGAAGTATAAATGCCGCCTTAGAGGCCAATATGTAAAGTGAAACGAAACTAGTCTTGCATCATGTGGCATTTGCTAATTTATCACATGCCATTTGTTATTTCCATTATGTGGTATTAAGTGTTATTATTTGGTAGCATTTTTTTCCCTTACTACTTATTCTACTTAGTATAAATAATATGTAGTTATTAAGTGGAAGTCATAATTGTAAACGTTTCTCCGTTGTCTCAAAAAATAGCAGTGGCGGCTCGTCAGGAGATGCAAGTGACGCACCGCTTCACCTAAAATTTCCATTTGGTTGTGCAATTTAAAATTATTTTTAATTTTATATTGAAAATGTATCATGTTTGTTTGTTTAATACACAGAAATAAACAGAATAGTTGCGCAGTGAACACCTTCTAAAAAACCATTGCCTTCGTTGAGCATGAACATGAGCCTCGGACCATAAAACGTATAGTGGACGCAAGTGATGCAGATTGAAATCAATTTGTATTCTGCTTCTCTTCGTACCTTTATTTATGGCAGTTGTCATGGCAACGACGCAGCCAACACGGGATTAAACTATGGCGTGGGGGAACGAGTGACGCATAAATTGAAGCAACATCGTCCATCGCCTGGCTTTACAGTTTAGACTATACGCGTCGTCCAGTGTATGATTATAACAGTTCTTACTGAATATTTGTTTTGTATAATTGTAGAAATGGTTCCTATGTATGATCCAGTATGTATTTTATTGGAAATCCCATTTTCCACATGGAAAATTGAGGACAAAAAGGATTTTTTAAATTGCGAGAAACCTGTGCCTTATTCTCTCGATATGGAAAAAAGGAGAAGTCAAAAGATGTGTACATTCGAAACTTTCGGAATGAATGGTATTCGGAGTATAAGTGGTTGTGTGGAAGTGTTCATTTAAAAAAACTTTTCTGTATGCCGTGTTTAATTGTGGGTGTAAAGTCGAACGTGTGGAATAAGAAGGGATTTAACAATTTTGGGAACATCACGCGAGGTTGTCGTAACCACAAAGCTTCTTTAGAACATACATGTACGGTGTGCGTTAATATTCGCAAAAGTCCACAAGCCGAACTAATATTTCAATTTTTTATAAAATCTAAATGAAAATCCTTCTCACGAACATCAGTTTTTCGGTAATATTGCAAATGCAACTAAAAATGTAAAGATTCATTTAAAGCCGTCTGATCTTAAAAATTTTCGCCAACGGCGCTATTTTTTTCTTTTGAGTCAATCAATGAATATGCTTCACCTATTCTCAATGTCACGAGCCGCCACTGAAAAACAGCATGAGAGCATGTTTTCGATGTTTTCCCAAAGCAAATTTGTAAGTTCTATATTAAATTTTAGGTACTATTATAATTTGTACTGGTTCATGAATCTTCAATAGAAATAATAAACACATTGTATGATTTCTTCTGTTAAGTATTGTATGATCTATTATGTTTATGGCATGGAGATGCGAATATAAATAAAAACTGAAAATTCATATTGGTTTTCCTTATTTATTTAATATTTTATTACTATACCTTGAACAATTTAATAAAAAAATATTTTCTTTTTTTTGACACTTAATTGTTGTTACTACCAAACAAGAATCAGAAATAAAGTTTCTTTTTAAATCAATGTAGCACGATTTGTATCTTAGGTCACATGATTTAGGGCAAATCGCTGTCACTTTTGCAGTTCATGTTGGAACAGCTACAATGCACAGAAAATCGGCTTTGGCTCCATATATAGTATACTGTCAAATTTATGGTTGACAAACACACGTAAATTCAGAGTAAGTATTGCATTTCTAAATTTTATATCTGTATGGGAATAAATGGACTGCTATTTTATGGGGTTGCAAACAATGTCATTTTGACCTAAAAACTTCGAGTTTTGTGATTATTCCTCGAGCTTTGGATTCACCAATAATTATATTACACTCATGACAAAAAAGTTTGTACAATTTCAAAGTGGCAATATATTTGTTATTATTTAAAAGTTCCAGAACAAAAACAGTTAATAATAAGTGTACAAAGTGATGAAAAGTAGAAATTTAGAAAACACAAAAAACAAAGTTTCAATGTTTTGCGTGAAGAGAGTTTTTGATAGTCGTTATGGAATTGCGCATTGGATGGCGTATATCAATTAAGTTCTGCTTTAAAGCCAGTAAAATAGCCACAGAAACATACCAACTGTTACAAATGGCATATGGTGAGGAGTGTGTATCATGACCGACTGTGTTCCTGTGGTTGGAAAGATTTCGTGATGGTTGAGACGTGCACGATGACAAGAGGACGGTGCATCCCTGCAGAACCCAAACAAACAAAAACATCGAAGTTGTGTTTTCTACGCGCTGAAGTATGATTGTCAATGAACCATCAGAATGTTGGCAGACCGTGTACGATTGATTGACGATCAGACTTCAACGTAGAGTGCACCGTTTCAATGTTATCTTTCATTTGACTTGTGCAAGGACACCTTGTCCTCTCATTGTCATACATGCTGTTTTGGCCATCACAAAACTTCCAAAACCACAGGAACACTGTCGAACGTAATACACACTCCTCACCGTATGCCAATTGTAACAGTTGATACATTCCTGTGGATGCTTTACAGACTTTAAAAATTTGATTGATGTATGCTGTTCAATGTGCGTTTCCATGACAACTATCAAAAACTCGCTTCACGCAAAACGTTATAACTTCGTGGTCGATGCACGTATACTGATCAAATTTTGTTTGGTCACTCAGAAGGCTTCCCACTATGTAGTTTTGTCAACCGCACATAGATAGCACCATCCTTAAAACTTAATAACACGACTGTGTATTTCACCTTCTTGAAGAAAGATTTCATATTTGTGGTAAAGGACAAATATAGCATTTTCAGTTTAAGACAGCAAAAATGTCGCTTTCGTTTCGACTAACCAATGAGAAAATCCTTATTATTGCATATATGACTACAAAGAATTACCCTCTTACCTTTCTCTTTTTTTCCATATGCTTAGCGTGAAACATACAGAAATATTTCCTGTGCCCATTAAGCGCTAATACTGTTCCAACACAATTCCGCGGATTTATATTCAATTCTCTTTCCTCCGGTAGCGATAACTGTAGAAGTTCCTTGTACCAACCAATGCTCCGTTCAATGTACATAAAAGAAAACATTAAAGTTTTGTTCCTAAAAAAGTGCTATTAAAACGTGTGCGTTTTCAAAAAATATGATTAACTTTGCACGAGTAAAATCTCATATTTACCTTCGATATGGCCAAACAGCTTTATGGAATGGAGGAATTAATTGCTGCCTCGATTGCATATCGAGAATTAAAACAATTGTTCGGCATCCAGGTTTAAGTAACCTTACCAATGCATTGTATGTTTCAGATCTCAATTCGTGTAAACGCAATTCGGGTTGATAACTAGACTTTAAAGTATCATTATTATTATTGCCCGATTTAGCTTTGGCTTTCTGTTTTTGAATATTCTCTTCTTCTAGACGTCTAAAATGGATTATCCAGTTAATAAAAAGGATAGACTAGACACAATGTTTCTGAATCATTGTACGAACTTATAGCAGGTAGGAAATGTTTAATAAAAAAGTTAGAGATTGATAAACGAACACCGCCAAAAGCACACTTTTGAAATAATTTGAAAATGGCATATCAGATCCCAATAAAATTGCAATCGAATATCCATTTCAAACATGAGAATATTTTTTAAATATATTTTAATGACAATGCCAGAAATTTTTTTTTTTCATAAGAAAAAATAAAAAAACAGTAGGTCGACGTCATATGAATGATTTTTAAGGGCAAAAAAACTATTTATATTGCTTTATTATACAGGGTGTCCCTGAAATGAATGTACCTGTGAGCCACCCTAGATTATTAAGGTCAAACTACGGTAATTTACGCTAATTTACATATTTGCAAAAAAGCACCATAAGGGCGCTAGGGGATGCCAAATTTTTTAGAAAAATATCAATAATCAGTTATAAAACGGAAAAGCATTGAACGATTAAAATGAAATTCGGTATGTAAAAATATATAGTTAAAAAGAGCTTTTCCTGATGCGATTAATGTTAATTACCGATTTGCACAAATGCCTTACACTGGATACCTAGGTTAAAAAAATATTTTGGTTAAACATAAAACTTTTTTAAATAAATTCAGTTTCTTCCAAAATTTTGATAACTCATACCATTTAGTCGCAAGAAAATTCAACAACCGTCTGTCACATGCAACCCGGTAAATAAATTTGCGCCTTATGCATTAGAAATAACCAAGGTGCCATGGATAACAGAAACTTACACATGGATTTGTCAGTGTCAGTTTGAATTTTGAAATTGCTAATTAATTGTACATTTTCAAAAATGACATGATTAAAATGTTAGGATATTGCAAAAATGTTGGCGCCTCTTGCACCTTTAGGAAGTATTTTTGCAAATAGGTAAATTTGCAGAAATTGTTGTAGTTTGACCTTAAGAATCTAGTGGCTCCCTGGTACATACATTTCAGGGACATCTTGTATTTAATTAGAATTGATAAAATAATTTTTGAAGGGAATAACTATTTAATTTTTTAATTAATTTATAACCAAAGCGTAATTTTTCAAACACGTTATTTACGTAGGTGACGAACAAACATATTTGAAGTTAGAGCGAGCAAATTTTTCATCCTTAAATTAGATCGAATACCACCGAATGTAGTTTCAAGAGCCTACAAATTCACAAAATCATCTACGATTATCGCTCGTGCGCTTGACGCCTGCTTTTCAGTTTGGCCCACAGCATATTAGTGTTAATTAAAAAAATGTATTTTCAACAGTACACCTTCAACATCATATAACTTCTTCACTGTATCTATATCCTCATTTAATCGAGCAACATGTTTTAGAAACATATTAATTTCGTTCACATATTTTGTGATATTCTAAATAATTTTTGTAAAATAATACAAATTTTATAATTCTTAAAACTTTTGTCAGTTAAATAGTAAAGAGCCAACAAATATTAAAATAATATACTTACACAAGATAAGCCATAAAATAACCAATAGCTAATATGAACAATATTGTCCCCAGGACAGAAACTGCAGGTAAAATTTGATCTTTACTAAGTCCATCATAAGTTGCTTCAGCAAAGTTCATAACTTTGGTAAAGACTTGTCCAAACATGCCTTTTGCATGTTCATCAAATAAGTCCTAAAAATTGACACTGCATTATTATTACAAAATAGAAAAACATTACTTTGAATTAATGTTAATTATTATTAAGAGTGTGTCAGAATAACATGTACAACAGAAGACCACAGATTCGTGGACTCAAAATAGACAAATTTAGACTAATTATTCACCTATATCTGAAATCGCTTCGTTTGACCGCTAGATGGCCTCAAAGTTCGTGAAAAATTTTTGAATTTTGTAAATAACTCAAATAAAATTGATTTCGATTATTTTTGGAGTGTCGACTTTTGCTTTCAATCTACACATTTTGTGGTTATACAGTGTTTTTTAAAACTCACAACTCACAACAAAATTGATGTATGGTGATAATATCCGTTCATAACTTTTTCCTCTTTTGGGCAATAATGTCAACTATTTTTTATTTGATAGGTGATACAATTTGGAAATTTTTGGGCCTCTTATAGAATTTTAATTAAATGAGCGGTTTGGGTACAAAAAAATATTTTTTAATTGTCTACATTATCTTGCCACCGATATTACAATACTTAAAGTGCTAGTAGTCACTGATTTTGTAGGTTGACTGTAATTTCAGTATGATCTTTAAGGTGGCCATATCCCTGGCCGAGAAATGGTGAAATTTCTGGCATTTTTAGGTACTGAAATCTTGAAAAGTAAAACGTGTAGAGCAAAAGTAAGTACAAAAATAAAATCCTTGATGTTTTGTTTATTCATTGTTACCATTTAAATTTACCCAAATAAAATAATAACTAAAAAAAGCGTTTGTAAAACATGCGTTTTCTGTTATCCTAACCCCACATTTTAACAATTATTTTCACGTACTTATAAATAAAAGTAAACAATTTTATATGTAGGACTAAGCAAGTAAATGTTATAAGAATATTTACATGTGGAGTTATATATAAAAAAGTTAGTATTTTCATAGATTTCAGTACCTAAAACCTTGATGGTTTGATCGTTTTTTGCACCTGTTTATTACATTCCTATTATTTGATAAGCTTTAGATTATTCAGTTATTAAATGTTTGAAATTATTTGTCTTTGCGGAAAACACTATTTAAAGAATATGGGGCCCTTAAATCATTGTACCTACCACTTCTTAATGAGTGTTTACTAAGATAAGATATACCACATGTTCATTTTTCGATATGGATATACACATAAGACGAATTAGTTATTTACGTGCTCAATTTTTTTTAAATAATTCATAAATACAATCAAATACAAACAAAAATGCTGGAGATAAAAGTAACAAAGTTGAGGTTATTCATTTGTACAATTTAGTATAAAAACTGTTCAAAATGGCTGCCGTTGTTTCAACAACAAAAGTTAATTCGGCGAAGAAAGTTAAAGGACATCCTTTGCAGTTCTTAAGGACTATTTTTAAAACATTTATGGCATTTTGAATATTCCTCTACAACTCAGTTCAGTGTTAGATGTGGAATCATGCACTGTTGTTTTCAGAGTGCCCCAAAGATAATAGTCACATGGTGTTAAGTTTGTTGAACATACAGGCAAGTTAACAGGAACATTATCCCCTCTACTTTGATATCTAGGGAATCTTTGATTCAGATACTGTCGGACATTTACAGTGAAATGTGGTGGAGCGCCTTCATGCATAAACCACATGTTAGCTGTGAATAATAACGGCACATCTTCCAATAGCTTGGGTTTTGCAAAAATAAAATTCCCTATTCAGTCTATTGATTAGAATAACAGGGCTAATAATAACGCTATTCCAAACAAGGTCAAACTGAAATTATAGGCAACCTACAAAATCAGTGCCAACTAGCACTTTATTAAGTATTGTAATATGGGTGGCAAGATAATGTAGTCATTTAAGAAATATTTTTTTGTACCCAAATCGCTCATTTAATCAAAATTCTACAAGATGCCCAAAAACGTCCAAATCGTATCACCTATCAAATAAAAAATAGTTGTCATTATTGCTGAAAAAAGGAAAAAGTTATGAACGGATATTATCACCATATATCAATTTTGTAGGAGTTGTAAGTTTTAAAAAACACTCTGTATAACACCAAAATGTGTAGACTGAAAACAAAAGTCCACATTCCAAAAATAAACAAAATCAAATAATACGTATTTGAATTATTTACAAAATTCAAAAAATATTCATGAACTTTGAGGCGATCTAGCGGGCAAACGAAACAATTTTGGATATAGGTGAATTAGCCTAAATCTGTCTATTTTGTTCACGAATCTGTGGTCTTCTGTTGTACATGTTATTCTGGGACACCCTATACATCTCTAAAATGGAAATTCTATAAAGTTTAAAAGAAATTAACACTTCATGTCATTAAAAGGTATAAATAAAACAGAAGTGAAAAAAAAAATGATAAATTAACATCAAAATAAAAACAACAGTTTATTTTAAATTTATTTTAGCTATTATATCTGTAAAATAAATTAAAATTCTAGTTAAAAAAAAAATAAAACAAAATTCCACTGTCAAAAAGTTTAAAGAGATCCACAAAATGCAACAAAAAAAATTAATGGTAAATTTCTGATCACAATATAATTTAAAAAAAGTTTAACCTACCTTGACCAATGCCTCATATGTTAATTTTTCACTGGATCTCAAAAGTCGACTTATTGTATTCTCTAGTAATGAAGTAGTATCATTCAAGTTATTCTCAATTTCCCACTTAGAACTAAGCCACTCATACTTTACGTGAGAAGTATCTTTCCTCCACAATATTACTATTCTAAGTAACGGTTCGATCAGTTCTCCTTCTAAACGAACATTAAAAATTCCCTTATTTAACTACTAAAACTATCAAAATAATATATTCTCACCTGGAATTAACGAGTTAACAAATTCAGTCTGTTTATCATGGTAAATATATGCAAATCTCACTTTTTCAGATCTATATGGTGAATTCTGAGCATATAATCTAAACAACTGCCTGTGAATGTCATGGCTGCGAGATGCTTCAGTAACAAGAACTACACATAATTTTTTCTTTGGTTTATTCCATTCGCATGGGCACAGAGACTCCAAAACTGTCTAAAATGAAATAATCAATTGGTTATTACCAAAAAGTTGGTTGTGAAAAATTGAAGTAAGTACCTGTGATGATAACCGAGGAAGTGCGAGATATTGATTTGATGATATTATGTGATGTAATGTCGATGTTGGTATATCCTTCATTGTAACGCTAGCCATTGGAGAAGAGGTATTTTCATTAAACAACAAAACACTATCCATGTCATGAGGTACTTGATATCTATCACGAATTTCATCGGAATCTACAAAACTAATGCAATCGGTAAAGGTTTTGCTGCTTTATAGACTAACACGATTACCCAAAAGCAACTCTATGACGGAAATGGTAGGCAGCGACTAGATAGCGTAATCTAACATTTTCTCGAGGTTCAAAAATTAGAGCTCTTACTCTATTATCTTCCCATCCATTTAAGAAATTATCTTCATCACCTATATTAATTCTTGATACCAATTTGTATGGTAATTTATTTCTAATGAACTCTGAAAAAGTATTTACTATCTATTTATTTTTTTATATGCAAGACATTTACTCAATAAGCAACATCAATGAGGTTTTAAGTAGTCATATCATACAATCAATATCATATTAATGAACTTAAAATAGATTTACGTAAGTAAAATTTTCAACTTTTCTCATAACTTGTGATCCATTTAAGGTGAAAACACTTGTAAAAAATATTTTGTTAGGATTAACTTTTTTTTTAAAAAAAAAAGAGAACTTATAAAACTCCACAGGTTGAACTCATTTTTAATTATTGAACCTTACTTATTAATTTTACTCAGTCAAATTTGAGCGAAATTTATTAATGATTTTTTTTTATAGTTACAATGAAAGCAAATCAATTTTTACAAAATTGCAAAAATAGCATTGGTATGAAATTTCGTTGTTCATGTAATAATGAACTATTACAGAAAAATTCTAGGGGACATCATAAAACATGTTATATGTATTAATACTAGAACTGTCGATTAATTTTGAGTGATTTACAGTAGATGGCGCAACTTATGCTATATCACATAGGACACTTACTTCTGTAACTGTATTCATGTCAAAACTCAGTCATTAGGCTTTACTTTTTATTATGCGTCATTTTGCTGAAGTGTAAACAACATATTTTGTTTCAGCTCCGAGGATGTCAAATCACAAGTCAACAAAATACCATTTGCAAGGTTTTACTTTTCCTGTTTAATTCAATGAAATGTGCTGCTGAAAGTCATCATAAGGAAACTTACAGTGAACGTACTCCGATAAAAACATACGAGTATTGATTTCGACTTTTAAATGTGGTTATTTCGATAAAGTTGATAAAAAACGCCCTGGTGAACCGAAAAAGTTAGGTAAAGAATTGGAAGCATCACTCAACCACGATTCATGTCAAACGAAAGATGAACTTGCTGAACTGTTGATTTTTGATCGCACAATAGTTTCCAAATGTTTAAATGCACTTGGCATGATTCAAAAGCAAGGAAATTGGTGCCATATGATGCCTAAAGATGTTGAATGGTGATTCTTCACGTGTGAACAATTCCTTCAACGGCAAAAAAGAAATGGTTTTTTGCATAGTATCATTATTGGCTATGAAAAATGGGTACAATATGATAATCGTAAGCATAGAAAATAGTCAGATTTGCCTGGTCATGCATCAACATCTACGGCAAGGCCAAATATACATGGTTCGAAGCTCATGGCCTGTATTTGGTGGGACCAGTTTAGTGTTGTGTAAGAAAGGTTTTTTGCATAGTATCATCATTGGCTATGAAAAATGGGTACAATATGATAATCGCAAGCATAGAAAATAGTCAGATTTGCCTGGTCATGCATCAACATCTACGGCAAGGCCAAATATACATGGTTCGAAGCTCATGGCCTGTATTTGGTGGGACCAGTTCAGTGTTGTGTACTATGAGCTACTTTAGTGGAACAAAACCCTCACTGGTGAAAGCTGGCAAAAACGACTAATGCATTTATGTGGTGCATTGAAGGAAAAACGGCCGCAATTCAAGCAGACACGATAAAGTAATTTTTTTAATGTCATAACACTCGAACACATGTTGCTCAAGAAGTCAAAAAATTCTTAGAAACACTGAAATGTGATATTTTACCCCACCCGCTATATTCACTATCGGATTACTACTTGTTCCGATCCATAGGACAAGGTCTGGCTAAACAACGCTTCCAATCTTATGAAGATACGAGAATTGGATCGATTGGTGGATAGCATCAAAAGACAGTAGTTCTTTCAATACGGAATCCCTATATTGTCAAAAAGATGGAAAAAAGTAATGGTGGACAATACTTTGAAAAATAATGTATAAAATTTTTCACAATAAAGCCTTGAATATACAAAAAAATCCCTCAAAATTAACTCAAAGTTAATATTAAATTTCGTATTTCAAAATATTTATAATATATAATTTTTAATAAATAACTATTTTAAAAGAGAAAAGTTGAAAATTATGTATTAACATGTTAAGCCCTGGTATTGAAATAGAATTTCCCACGTCCATTTTTTTTTTCAAATCATGCAACAAAAATATAATGCATTAGTGTCCTGGAAGTATACCGATTTCATTTGGACCACACATCAGAGTCTTCAGTGAGAATACCTAGAGAGTAAATTGTCAACAAACGAAGTCAAACAGCAAAAGATCTCTATCATAAAATTCAAAAATCAACTTGTTCTCAAACTATAATGTAAAGCCTATTATTTCTAGTGATCAATTTGCTGAAAAAAATTAAGATCCCTTGCTGTTTGTACTTTTATTTCCTGTTAGCAAAACTGTTTTGTTCTCATATATTAAATAGTAGTGTATATTACATTCTCCATACTGCAGTGGCGGCTCGTGACATTATGAACAGGTGAGGCCTGTGGCTGTTTTACTAGGAAGGGAATAAAGAAAAAAAAAAGCGACCCAGGCGAAAATTTCTTACTTACACTGTAAGCCAAACAAAATGGGGCTCGGGTTTCCGCGTAAACACATTATTTTAACCGTTTGCGTGGAGGAGGAGCTATAGCATATTTATAGGAAAGTGTGACGCGCTTATAAGCCAGAAAATTGTGGCTTTACTGTGGTGAGGAGTAGTATATCATGTCGTGCAGATGGAATCGGCGAGATATTGAAGCAATTATTTTGTTATTTTGATTTTTTATGAATGTAATTGGAAGTTAGTTTAACTGTTTACTTAGATTCATAGTAGAATAGTAGGTATTAAAATACACGGTGTGAGAGCCAGTTGCTTCATACGACAAGACGCCACTGCCATGCTGTTCTTTGAAATAGAATACTCAAATATCAGGTATACACCAATTCGGCATATACAATCAATATCATTAGATTGTATTTCTGTTTCTCATAATTTGTAGGTTGAAAAATGATTCCATAATCATAGTTCCACAACAGTGAGATTTCATATTGATGTTACCTGGAGCTTAACATATTAAAATAGATATATAGGTGTATATGTATAGGTGTATACAGGGTCGGAAAGTCCCCATGGTTCATCGGCCGTTACGTGAGAGCGATAAAGTAAGTCATAGAAATAGGTGCGATAGAGAAAGATGGCTATAATGAAGGCATCTAATAGTCACCGCCCATTTCGCCCTTTCACAAATAAGATCCACTTCTTATTCTATCGCACGGATTTCTATGACTTTCTTTATCGTTCTCACGTAACGGACGATGAACCATGGGGCCTTTCCGACCCTGTATAACATAACGTACCTATAATTTTTTGAACACTTGTAATAGTTTCTTTGTAAACATATACATTTCCATCCAATAAAAGTACTAAACATGGTATTGTATGAATACTAAGCCTTCTGCCTAAATTTGGCTCCCTTCCTGAGTGTACAGTTATAAAATTTACCCCCAGCGGTTCCAGGTAATCTATTAGTTTACGGCAGTATGGAGCAGTTTGTAGACACGGAAAACACCAATCAGTGTAAAAAAATATCAAATGAGGCATTTTCTCACTTTTTGGTACAATAAGTTTATCATATTGCCTGGAATATTAAAAAGTGATATCTGTTAAAAAATCATTAAAAAATTGCTTAAACAGATAGATCAAGTCACCTGAAATTGCACAGCACTTAAATTTAATTGACTAAGGTATTCAAAAAAAATGTAATCTATATAGACATGTTCCAAAAACGTACAATGTGATTTATTTGATAAGTAGCTACACTGGATTAAGTGCTAACGTTTATTTTTCAATCCATAACAGTTAGGAAAGGAACTTTTCTTGTTATTAAATTATTCACATTTAAATTAAAAAAATGTATTTTCTAGATAATGACGGAACATGATATTGTCAACAAATTAATGTGAAGTATTCAATCACAGATCAGATAAACTGAATGAAGAAGTGCAAATGACAGCTACTGGTACCCTCTTGGGAGTCCAGAAGGTCTTGCGCTGATGGTTTTAATGTAACAGACAACATAATTGAATATATTCCCAAGAAACTCGGACGACAAATACTAACATCATATGTACATATTACTATCATTCAATCACACTTACTTTAATTAGAAACTTTAATAAAATTAGAAATACACAATAAGGATACACCCTTAATCGAGTTGTTAACTTTTCAATAGAAAGGAAAATTTAAAAAAATTATAAAGTTACTGACTGAACCAGACATCAGCTATTGAAACATTCTAATTACAGAAAAAATAATGTACCTTGTAGTAACTGATAACTTATGAAAAAAGGTTATATCATTTTCTTGAAAATTGAAATGTGCTCCATGGTTAGCAAAGAGATCTTCAAATGGGTTGCCAGTGTGGAAAGGGGGATGTTCAGGTTTATTATAAAAATCATCTTCAGTAATTCCTTTATCATCATATCTTTTCCTCCTTTCAGGATCTGAGAGCAGTTCATATGCTTGACTAATTTCTACAAAACGTTCGGGAGCATTTTCATCACTTGTTTTATCAGGATGCCTAGAAAATTACATGCTGTTATTCACATCACATTTACGATTTAATTTCATTAAAATAATTATTTATACTTGTGATACAAATGAAATGCAATTGTTGTTGTGATAAAAATATGTTAAAATTACTATTCCATAATTAAACAATATTGGCTTGATTTATAAAACATATTTATCTGTAAAATTACATAATATTTTCATCCACAAAATTCAAACTTTTTAGTTTGTTGACATGATAAGCTCTAAATATTGTAGGTACTATTACAGCCATGCCACAAAAATTAATGAGGTGTTTCTGTATTTGATATTGGTTTAAATAAATGCTAAAGTTTCTTCTTACAGTAGGTCGTGGCTGGTAACAATTAAATTAGTTATTATATCTTGAGAATAAAGCATGGGATCCTACTGTTTCTATGGGATGATATGCAAATGCATAGAAAACTTTCATGAAAAAATTTCGAACAAAATTTGCAAAATAAAATACTAAAATAGGGGTTGTCTCCACTGAAATCTCGAATGGATGTTTTTTAATTTTTCACAAAATTAAATTTTTTTAGTAGTTATATCTACTTAAATATTAATTTGATACTAAACATTTAATTTTTCAAACTTTATAATACCATGACTAAGGAACATGAAAACATTGTGAAAAATGAAAAACACTCGGAAAAACATGTCTGCTTGTATCTAGGTAAGAGATATGAGATATGAGATATTATGAAAAAATAAATATTTTGCAAATAAATTTGCCACTCTTTTCGAGGTCTCAGAAACAGAAACCTTAATTTTTTTAATTTCACAAATTCTGATTAAAATTTTTTCATCACACATATTATGTCATAAAAGAAGGCATGGCTCCCACGCTTCATTTTCAAAATTTGATTTAAAATGACATTTTGAAGAAAAAATTATATAGAAAAATATAGAAATAAGTAAGTTTATTATGTTGAATTAACTACAATTAACAGGACTATCTTAAATACCTATATGATTTCTGATTAGGCTGAAATTCGCAGCCAGACTCGTCAGCGTGACTATCACAATGCCGTGCCGTATATAAAATATTGATTATTTAAAACACGAAAAATCATAAAACAGTAATAAAATAGTATAAGGACTAATTTTTATGCAAATTATGAACTTATATTACATTAACAAATTGTGCAATAATAATGCTCAAAAAACTGTTTTAGAAAAGTTATACCTCTTTTCCTACCGCAAATTGGTACGTAAAAAATTGTAGTTTATTTGATTCCATCTCATATTATCCACAAATGAAACTGTAAGGGTACAGCCTTTATACATTGCAAAATAAAACTGTTTAAATGGTGCCCATGCCCTCTTTTTATAAATAAATAGCTGTCGCGAGCTTCAGACCATGAATTGAAAACAGAAAAAATCCTGGAATACATTTTTAGGTGCCCTCTATGATATTGAACAATAATTGTGAGGATACATCTCTTAGTTATTGTAAAAAAAATGTTTAAATGGTGGCCAGACCCTCTTTTTATAATAAAGATAATTCTCCGAGGACAAGGTGCCATCTGAATTGTTCTGAATTGTAAAAATATTGGAAATATAAAACAAAATAATAAACAATGATACAACACCTAAGGTATAAAAGTTTGTACCTATTTTGAAACCTAAAATATTAACTTAAAATGTATATTTTATGAAAAACTTGACAAGAATGTTAGGTGGTAGGGTTTTTTAATTATACAATAATTGGTAACATTAGCAGCCTTTGTTTTTATGTTGCTTTTAAACGAGATTTTGGGAAATTTCTAAAATTAATATGAATACTATTTCAATAGTAAGAGTAAAGTAAAATGTAGTTATTTGCGTTTTCATCATTACTAACCGTGTTATTACTATTATGCTTTGAACATGACTACCACAGATTGATTTATCTGTCAAATATATTTAAAACACGATTGAAAATCTTACCATTCTTTGGCGAGTTGTTTATATGCTTTTCTTATTTCTTGTTGAGAAGCTTTCCTATTCACCCCAAGAATATTGTAGGGGTTACCTAACTCGGCTAACACACCCCATAATATGTAAATTAAAATATAACTTTGACAAAGCCAAAGTTGTGGCATCCATCTCATTTTCATTCAACACATACACAGTTTTTAACTTAAACTACAATTATCAAAATGTATGCGAAAAAACCATGAGGAAATATTGATTATTATACCAAGAAAATATGTGTCATCTGTCAACAGTCAACAGTGTCAACCTGTCAACCACAGGCCACAGAATCACCGATATGCGAATCACAGATTATGAAAACATCTTCGATATCGTAATCCATCGGACACTTCTACACGAAATCCCCCATATGGCACAGCGGGACGACGACCACAAGAGGTCGCGTCCTGCTGAATTACCAAGACAGACATAACGACTTGACGATACTCGGACCGACAGAACCGACACATTACGGACCCGTAGGACGCCCCGACGTTATCGACATTGCCCTCTTAAAATCTATACCG